GAGGGAGGGAGAGAGAGAGGGAGGGAGGGAGGAGGGAAACAGAAAGAGCGACCACACTCTGGTCAGCTAGACTCTGGCTTCCAAAGCCGCAACACGCGCTCACTGGGCTGGGAGCCTCGCTCGTCCAGAAAGGCGCGATCCTGAGAGGAGGCTCCCAAAATGTTCAAAATGCAACCCAGGGCTTCGGCCCCTCTCTTTGGGGATCCTTTCAGGGTTGAGGCGCCCTGGCCTCCATGGACAAATTCGGCTGCAGCTGCCGGCCGCCTGAAGCAAAATGCATCAAAATGCTGCACGATGCCTCTACTGTCATCCCGACTCCGTCTTTTTCGGACAACTTGCACTGACACGAGCATGGCTCCGGTGGCCTTCAGCTGAGTTCCCTTCGCCACTGGCCTGGCAGAAAGGCACTCTGAAACAAATTCCCGCTCCTGCTCCTGCTCCTCCCTAAACCCTAAACCCTAAACCTTAAACCCTAAACCCTAAACCCTAAACCTGTCCCTGGTGAAATTTCGCTTTCGTCGGACTGCAAAGGCTCCCCTGTGCTCGCCTCCATCTCGGCGCCGCCCGGCGGCGCAGAACACACCGGTCAAGATTAGGGTCCCTTTTAGGGCCCTTTTTTATAAGGGTGCCGTACTATGTTGGGGACCCTAATTTAGAGAACTACCCACAGGAGTTTTCTCTAGGACCCTCTACGGCCCAGGGCCTACAGTAGAGAGCTGAGCGCAACGGGGCCCTGAGGCTTTAGGGAGTCGACGCTTGCGCTTCGCACTGCTTGGGGCTCGTTGTTCCGAAGGGCTGAGGGGTTTAGGTTCGAAGGCTGCGTGCGCAAAGCCCACATGCCAAGGAACAGCAGCGGGCCGGAACAGCTATGGGCCGAGGCAGTGCCACTTGAGGGAAGGAAGTCGTGTCCAAACTTGACTCACGCCGCTCAGCAGGCACGACCCAATAATCAGAGCATCAAAAGTCATGCACCGCAAGAGGTGCAGGAACGCTGCACAACGCAACATGCGCCGGGAGAAAAAAGACGACGAGCGTGAAACTGAAGACTCTCCAGGCTTTGAAGGTCAGGACCATCGCAGTGCTGTGCTTCTGATTTGAGCCTTTTTGGCCGTGCTGGTGCTGATTGCTAGCAGCATGACATCAGAGCAAGAAGCTCTACATTCATGAATCTCCAGGAGTTTATGCAATTCTGGGCTCCTGTGGCTGAGACCGTCCCTGAACAGGTCTGAACAATCCTCTGAACAAGTCTTAAGAATCCTCTGCCATTTTTGAGGGCTTTGGCTTTGACTGCACCCCACAAATGCAAGGAAAGGCAAGAAAGGCAAGAGGCCACACCTCTTGAGACGCTTTGGACTCTCCCTCCAGACTACCGCAAAAGCACCTGGCCCAACATACTCCTGGCAGATCTGACAAGTGTGCACTGAATCTGGCGGCCTTTTATCATGTATCGAATACCAGTTCATCGGTCAAGGATCGCCCTGTGCACGACGAGAAGCTCTATGCAACAACTACCCGTCGTGAGCACCTGTCGGCATCCGCATTCACCTTGCAGATTCCGACAGGTCTTAGGTTTGGTCTTCCGTTCAAGCTCAAAGACTTATTTGTCCGGACGAGCATGCTGCATCTCGAACACTCTCTCTGTTGCTCGGTAGGAAGCTGTTCAGCAAATTGGCAAGCAACCCTAGTCGTCCGACGCAGCCAGCTAGCTCGACCTCCCAAAGATTCGGAAGATCGAAAAGGGAACACCCAGCCCACACCCAAGCGTTCACGATGGCTCATGACCTGCCCTTGCACCATGCATGAACTGGACTCGCGATTTCGCGATATGTTCTGAAGACATTCTCGAAACCCTAGCACGAGCCACCGTAGCGAGATGCTTCGATCTCACACCCGGGTCCCAAATCAAAATCTGCTGGCGGTTTCCTGAAGGAGTCCGCACAGGACGTGGTGTCGTGGCATAAACTGGCCCTGAGGCCACTAGCCCTTGATCTCAGAGATCTTCTTGAAGAAGCCGAACTGAGCAAGCACACACAAGGCTCGAAGCACGCAATTTTGAGGGGCCTTAGGCTACACGGCTCGTCCTCAAAACCACAGGGGTCTGATTTGCAGATTGCCCTGGTCCCACTGTCC